TCACATATCTCCCTGAGTGTTGTTTCCATGATCGAGCTGAGGGTCGATGGACAGACTCCCGAGATAATTATGCTTATGTCATCCGCATAAGCTGTTATCTTTGGTGCTTTCCTTTCGAATCTCTTGATTAGGTCGTCTACCACCAGATTCCATAGGAGGGGCGACAGAACCCCACCTTGCGGCGTGCCTCTGTGCGCTCCTCTCACCATGGAAGCGGTGCCCCAATCTGATTGTACCCGCCGGCAACTTAGAAGATTTTTTATCCACAAGTTGATAGCGGGGGACGAGTTGGTCGCTTCTAGGCGATCCATTATTGCGTCCGTGCTAACGTTGTTGAATGCCCCGGATATGATCACGAACACTCCAAGTGCATATTCCTTATTGTTTAGGGCTCTCTCAATGGTGGCTACCAACGAATGTAGTGCCGTCTCCACTGATTTCCCCTTCGTGTAGGCGTGCTGGTTGGTCGACAGTTGTCTCCCTACATCGTTCCTGATGTATAGGTCCAGCAGCTTTTCTTTTTTTAGCTTTTTATACCCTTGCAGGGTATTATAATTTCAGTCAGAAGTTTGCAACGCACTGAAGGAGACGTTTCCGACCCTATAAAGTATATATATTCTTGATCAGCATCAACAGCCGAGTCGATCTAGCCATGTCCGTCTGTTCGTCTGTCTGTTTCTACGCAAACTAGTCCCTCAGTTTTAAAGCTATCTGAATGAAACTTTGCATATAGTCTTCTATATACTCTCACTGCTATATATGTCGGAACGGGCCGGATCGGACGACTATATCATATAGCTGCCATACAAATGTTCGATACATTTTTAGAAAAAAATTATAACTTGACTGTTTTTTTAAATTTGTGCACCATTTTTGAAACATGCCCAAATTATATTATTTCAAATTTTCGGTTTTAATTTTATGAAAATCGGACGACTATATCTTATAGTTGCCATAGAAACGACCACGAAATTAATAGAAAAAAAATTATAACTTTGTTGTTTTTTTTTTAAGTATTTTCACTTACTCTGAGATAAGCTTTTGTTATTATTTCAGAATTTTGGTATACATTTTATGAAAATCGGACAACTATATCGATCGGTAAACGTGGAGAAAATGTAAAGCTGGGAATGTAAATTTTACATTGTAAAACTGTAACTGTAAAGATAATAAGTATAGGTAAAATATTATGAGACTCTGTTTTGTGTGTGTTTTCAGCATTTTATTTATTCTATGTATGTAAAAAGGAAAGGGATCGAAGCAGGCCGAGAGCTTGGAACTGACAGCAGCTAAGCAGGAAGAGAGAGAGAATTATTCATTGTGTTTTGGGAGTTCAACAGTTACAGTTGAAATTAAGCAGATATAGAAGCAGAGAAAGTAACAAAAGTTGAAAAGAAAACGGAAGAAGCAGATAATAGGAAAGAAAACTTGCACATTTTTAGAAACATATAATATCCGAAAAATTATTATAATAAACGTAACACAAGAGGGAAATACCCATCTTACATTTGGGGGCTCGTCCAAACCTAAAATTGCAAGTCCGGAGAAGTTTAAAAGGCGGATAGCGGAAGGGAATGAGTGTGAAGCCGTATTACACTAGATCTGTCGCAGCGGATAAAACTATCAGAATGGATAACTTTGGTAAAGCTGGTGAACAGGAGAATGACGATGAAGTTAAAAGCATGCATGAACTTTCCGAATCAAGAGGAGAACAAAAGGCTGCAAGAAGAAGCATGCAGAATCGTGTCGGAACAAGTGGAAGGCAGAATGATACAGCTATAGCAGTTGAGAGCAGCTCGATCGACGAAAACACAAAAACGCTGAAAGACCTTGTGCAGCTGCTTGCCATAAAGTTTGGAGCGGAGGAGCAGAACAGTAGATGCTCGATTACAGCGGAAAGCTTCGCGAAAATTATTCCAGAGTTTGACGGAGAATCCATTCCAGTGAAGTACTGGTTCGACAATTTTGAGCAGAATGCTGCAGCCTACGGGTTGAACATAAAGCAAATGTATGTCCAGGCTCGGGCGAAAATGGTGAACACTGCAAAATTATTTTTGAGTCTACGTTCGTTCATCAATATGCAGAAATGCGTATGCTGATGGAGACAGAGTTTAGTCGTCAATATGTGTGCAGTGCTGATGTCCATGAGCTGCTCCGTACTCGGAAGAAACGCAAGGACGAATCATTTTATATATACCTACTGCAGATGAAAAAGATTGCGTCACTTGGAAACATTGATGTACGTTCGGTAATCCGTTATGTTGTTGACGGCCTAAGCATGAGGAGTGACTTTAGATACTCTCTCTATTGTTGCAAAACGTATAAAGAGCTACAGGAGCAGTATGAGGTGTACGAACGCGTGGGCGAGAAGCCGTTCAAGCCGAACAACGAGAGGTCGACGCCGGACAATAGGATGCAGCGCGAGTTCAACCACAGAAAAAATCACTGCTTCAATTGTGGATCTGCAGATCATCTTCGCAAAGATTGCAGGGCTGCCGTAAAATGCTTCAGATGTAACGAGGAGGGCCACATGTCAAGGGATTGCCCTGAATCAACTGCAGATGTTCAAGTTGTACGCAGTGCAAATCGCATGAAAAAGGTGACCATCAACGACGTGAAAGTGGAGTGTCTGGTAGATACGGGAGCCGACGTATCTATTTTATATATACCGAATGTCATCTTGAGAAGATGTGCCTCGAAGCTGCGTGGGCTTGGAAAGAGGATGACGTGCCCAGTTGGCTACTTTTTGGCTGAGGTTGCAGTAGATCAGGAGTTGACGACACACAACTTTGTTGTAGTGGAGGATGCGGACATTGAGTATGATGCGCTGCTGGGTTTCGATTTCGTCTCAAAGTTTAACTTTTCGCTGTCGGCCGACGGATACAAGTTTTCTTCCCAGCTGGAGGAGAAGGCTTGTGAGAAGCCAAAGCAGTATGATAAAGAAGTGTCGCAGCTGATCAAGAACTATAGGGCCGTGAATACAGTCGCAGAAGTCCCAGTCAAGATGCGAGGAAAGTTCTGAAGAAGCCGCCAACAGATGGATATATAAGAATCCTTGGCTATGAGGGAGTGACCAAGAAGCTGACCCGCTGCAGTGCTGGAACAACCCAAGAGTGTTTGGCGGAGACGCCGCGAAGAGCAAGCCTAAAATCAGATCTGGCCAGCAACCACAAGCTGCGTGAGTTGCGCAAAGCCCAGATTGATGGCACTAAGAAGGAGAAGTCACTAGCTAAAAAGGAGTGCCAGCTGCTGCAGAAGAAGTCGACCCACGATGAGATCTTCGCCCGCTGTCAGGAGTTAGCCTTCATGAAGATGAGTGAGTCCCAAAAGTCGGCCATAGAGGACCGCAGAATTTTGAAAAAGAAGCAGGAAAGTCGAAGAAAAGATACAAAGAGAGAGATTCAACGAGCACAGGAATTGTATAGGAGGAACTTTGACCGAAAGCGAAAACCGGAAGTCGATCATAAAGTTGGAGACTTAGTCGCTATACGCCGGACACAGTTTGTAGCTGGAAAGAAGTTGGCTGGAGAGTACATGGGACCGTACGCGGTTGCAAAAGTGAAGAGGAATGGGAGGTACGAAGTTCGGAAGGCAGCAGATTTCGAAGGACCAATTAACACTTCAACCAGTTGTGACTACATGAAGCTGTGGCGATATGTCCAGGACAACGAGGATGATTGGTCATCTGGGACAGATGAGTAGTCAGGAATGGCCGAATGTAAAAAGGAAAGGGATCGAAGCAGGCCGAGAGCTTGGAACTGACAGCAGCTAAGCAGGAAGAGAGAGAGAATTATTCATTGTGTTTTGGGAGTTCAACAGTTACAGTTGAAATTAAGCAGATATAGAAGCAGAGAAAGTAACAAAAGTTGAAAAGAAAACGGAAGAAGCAGATAATAGGAAAGAAGACTTGCACATTTTTAGAAACATATAATATCCGAAAAATTATTATAATAAACGTAACACAAGAGGGAAATACCCATCTTACATGTATAAATATATAACTTTTATATAGTTTCTTTTTATTTTTTTTTTCTAATTATTTATCCAGAATGGCTCGATTCTTAATGATCCAATTGCATTCTGCAAGGGTATACAAACATCGGCGTGGCAAAGTTTGCTTCCTTTCTTGTTTTTAATTAAATTAAATATAAAATTTTTTATTTAATTTTATCAAAACCAAATTATTATATGTATGTATATGTCGGAGAAACAGTCATTTTGTAGAGCCGTTGCACTAACCATACAACATAAATGGTTACAAAAATTTCTTTGCGATAGGCCCCTGTTAGCTGTTTGCTGTTAGCGACAGGCCCCCTGTTAGATTTTAGCTGTTAGCGACGGGCCCCCTGTAAGGTGTTAGCGACAGGTTTACATGTATGCGTGTTCATGCATTCACGTACACGGGTGCATGTGTGCGATCACATTTCACTGCTACCCCTGATTTGAATTGTAAACAAATATGAAATGTATGCTGAAACATAAAGAAATATATTATAACATATAACATTCTTATTTTTATCATTAACCCAATAGTGAATATGCCCATATTGTTAGGGTACCTAGCACGAAAAGTAGCCAATGACCAAATATTCTCGGTGGGCCGAAATGAAACGATCGCATACATGTACCCGTGTACGTGAATGCATGAACACGCATGCATGTAAAGGCCTGTCGCTAACACCTAACAGGGGGCCCATCGCTAACGCTAAAATCTAACAGGGGGCCTGTCGCTAACAGCAAACAGCTAACAGGGGGCCTGTCGCTAAGAAATTTTTGTGTCCATTTTCGTTGTATGAAATGACTAGTCTATATGTTGTATGGTTAGTGGCCGTAGCTTCACTTCGCAAGTTAAAAACTAAATTAAGTGCGCTGGGCTTTACCCAATACATTGTAAGTTAAATTTACTAACATCTTATAAAGGCTCAATTTGATTCAGATTAAAATGAACAGCGAATGGAGCGCATTTTATTGTCAGTATTATAATTATTTATCTTTTTTAGGATAACAAATGATGCGAGAGAAGATGAAATGGAAGAAAATATGGGCCAGGTAAACACAATGATTGGCAACCTCCGAAATATGGCACTTGATATGGGTTCTGAGCTGGAAAATCAAAACCGCCAAATTGACAGAATTAATCGCAAGGTAAATTTATTGCTGAATATTTCTATAAAATATTATATATTAATTTGATACTTATTTTATACATAAAGACGTAATAAAGCTGAGTAGTAATTAATTGGCTGTTTAGAATCCGATTCCTGCGCCAATTCAAGAGATCAATTACAATATTTTTTTTTAGCAAAATGATGGCTGTTTCAAGATTCGTCATTAGCATTTATTTTAAGGCTTTAACTGTAATTTCTCTCGAAAATTTTGACTTTACGGTGTTTTGAGGTCGCTGAGAACGCATTTTAAGCCGGAATAAGAAACTTTCACAAAAAGTAGACACATTTTTGGCGGAACGCGATAGAAAAGCTTATTTTTGTGCCGGATTACAAACCATGATAACCTAATCTATATTTTCTAGATCTAAATGTTGTCAAGTGGGTGTCGAAAATCTTCTTATTTTTAATTGTGTGGAGAATACACCTCCACGCACTACAGGTCAATCTGCTTGTTAGACACGATTTTTAAAGTTTTTGAGAGGATCATATCAACCAGGTTGAGCGAAGCGATCGATGCAGCAGGGAGTGTCTCCCCCGAGCAGTGTGGCTCCAGAAAGGGCAGGTCAACCTCAGATGAGGGTTTTCAAATAGGCAGGAGGCAGAAGACGCTACCTCAGGTTCCTGAAGGAAAGGAACAAAGCAGGTAGATTCTTACCTTACATATGCGCTAAGCGTCATGGCTTCTTCCGCAGCTATTTAAAGCGCTTTGGCAATAAGACGGCATCGTGAAGGACGCGCAACGCGCCCTCATTTAGTGCTACAAGTTCGATAAGCGACGAAATACTGGTCCCAAATACTGCCGCGTCGGCAGCGACATTTGCCGCGCACGTACTAAGGACACTAAGGAGACAAGGAGGAAGGAGCAGGCGGAGTAGAGGTCTCCCGGTAGGCCCGTTGTCATACTCTTACCGTTTTAGCCTAGTTATTACTATGTATTAAGATAGCCACGTATGCCAAGCTAAGTAAAATAATTAGAGATAAAAAAAAAACAAGAAAGGAAGCTAACTTCGGCACGCCGAAGTTTGTAAACCCTTGCAGATTGCTATTGGATCATTAAGAATCAATTCATTCTGGTCAAATTAATAGAAACAAATAGAAGGAAATATATAAAAGTTGTATATGTCGGATATTAGTTTGAAATGTTAAATTCAATTAATATTTCTAAGTCTCCAAATGTATCGAATATGAAAATAAATGAAAAGTACAAGAAATAACAAAGAGAGAAATCACTTCTGAGTGTGGCGCAATGACGAGTAGAGAAGAAGGAAAGAAGAAAAGGGCAGTTCAGTTCGAGCGAGACTGTCAGAGAGAACGGACGAAATAAATATTCATTGCTACTTTCTGCACTAAGTGAAAAGAAAAGGAAGGCACAATTGCCGACAAAGCTGACCCCCCATCTCCTACATCAGAAGTGGGATCACCACCCCTACAAGACAACCCGGATAATGGCTGACGCACACTTCTAGAAGCACAAAGCAAAGTGATTGCACTTTTAAAAGCTGCACAGTTCACGTCGACACCTAGCATACGTTTCTGCAGTGTTACCATCTTTTGACCCCGAAGCTGCCAACGCAGATGCAGTAGCATGGTGCCAAACGACGAACATGATTTTATATGAACATCAGCAAAAAGGTGCAACCTTGGTAATGACGCTCAGCAAATCGCTTCACGGTAGTGCATCGCAGTTGCTATCGCAACTATGCTATCCTGGGATGAGCTGGATACAATTCAAGGAATGGTTCATGGAACGCTACGAAGGCAACGAGACGCTTGCAGCAGTGTTGCTAAACATGCTGAAGGAACGCCCAAAATCCACAAGAATTCCTCTCCATGTACTCCAGCCGGTTGGTTATATCACTCTTGACCAAGTAGAAAGCAATGACACACGAAGAAATTGCTGTATCGTTGGTCCTAAATCTAAGAACACGTACGGAGGTACAACAACAACTAAAAGCTCATACGTTCGCCAGAAAATCGAAATACTCTGGAATGGAGCAAGGCCCGGAAAAGAAGAGGTTCAAAACGCAAACGCCGATAAGATGCCATAGTTGTGGAAAACTCGGACACAAAGCAATGGTGTGGCACATGAGAAAAGCAGAGGATAGAAACAAGACGAGAACAGCTCTTAGCAACAGCATACAAGCCGTGACAGGTGTGGCAAAATTGGTCACATCGCATCAGTGTGTACAAAGTGGGCAGCAACAGCGGATAGAAACATCGAGAAGAGAGTGGTCTTGTGTGCGGTACTTCAGCTTAAAGGGACTGCAATACAATTTGGTGAGCGGTTTGATAATTAGCCAAGATATTTTTAAACTTGGTTTTGGAGTTATGTTAGAAAGTAACAAATTCGATATCTATAGAATTCAAATAAGAAAGACCTAATTAATAATAATAAGTCAAAACTAAACGACATATTGGCCAAGCATTCCATGGTTTTCATGGACGGTATCCCTAGTAGGCGTGTAACTACGGGATCACTTAAAATTCGCCTGCTAGACATAAATAAAACGGTTCAGAAGCGGCCGTATCGCCTTAGTGAGAACGAGAAGCAAATTAATTAAGAAAATAATGTTGGAAGCAAAAGTAATAAGACCTAGTGGTTACCCTTTCGCTAGCCCAATGTCAATGGTTAAAAAAGGATGGTTGTGAAAGATTGGGCATTGATTACAGTATCTAATATTGCTATTAATTTCAAATCAGATTAATCGCCTGCGAGGTGGAAAATATTTTTCAAGCTTAGATATGAAGGAACGCATTCGACCTTCATCGAGTGCAGACGTGCCTACGGTCAACCGCTACACGGGGTTTATTCTTGTAGTGTTTTTCATGGTAAAAAAGTAAATTCGGAACTCTAAACTACGTACTGTCAGTTAGGCCAAGCCCTACAGTGCGTATGACATACGGACACTAGTGCGTGAGACGTGTTTTTGAGCTGCAAAAAAGCCCAACCCGGCTCTACTAACCGCCGATGGCAAGAGAGCGGCGCTCTTGCTCACCCGCCCTACTCACTCAAACACCTACATCTTGGAGCTACGAATGCCAAACCCCACCACCACCGGCTTCGATGGAAGACGCACCAACAACAAGCAGTGCAAACGCAGCAAAAGCAACAAAAACAACTAAACCAACGACCAATATTGCAAAATCGGTGTCAACGGCCGCAGACCAAATTCAATGGGAACAAAAACCGTGAGCTCCGATAAGCAACAAGCGGTTCCGGCCATACAGACTGGCATGGATCGATACATCCAAATTAAGCGTAAGCTTAGCCCACATAACACGGTTGGTAACAAACCTAAGATCAACCGTGTCACCAAAAGCTACGACCCAAACAACTCCAACATATTTTCTCCGCTAGCAGCTGGTGAGAATAACCAAGCAGAGCCGGAGCAGGAGACTCAAAAACAGCGAAAGCCCCCACCCATTTACATTAGGGCGAAAAGCTTAAACGCCCTGGTCAACAAAATTGTTGCGCTGGTCGGGGACGGAAACTTTCATGTTGTTCAGCTTATTAAAGGGAACATTTGCGAAACCAAAGTTCAAACCAAAAGAGAAGAACACTTTCGAGCTGTGTCTAATTACCTTCAGGAAGCAAAAAGAGCTTTTACACCTACCAACTAAAAAGCAGCAAGGGACTGCAAGTAGGGCTGAAAGGAATTGAACCAGAAGTCGCACCCTCTGAGATTCTAGAAGCCCTGAAAGGCAAGGGTTTCTTTGCCAAGAATGTTAGCAACATTATCAACAAAAACAAAAAGCCGCAACCTCTTTTCAAAGTCGAACTTGAGCCAGACAGTAAAGCCCTAAAGAAGAATGAAGTTCACCCGATCTACAAGTTGCAGTTCCTACTGCACCGAAGAATCACCGTGGAAGAACCGCACAAACGCAACGGTCCTGTGCAATGTACAAATTGCTAGGAGTATGGACATACAAGGACATACTGCACCTTTCGGTCAGTCTGCGTAGTCTGTGGAGACTTCCACAATTCCGCACACTGCCCTACGAACAAAGAAGACCCCAACACGAAAAAATGCGGAAACTGTGGAGGAAATCACACAGCTTACTACAGAGTCTGCGTGGTCTACAAGGAGCTGAAGAGTCGCATGCGACGAGCAACAGCTACACGCCAACAAAATACACAAAATGTATATTATAATTCAAAAACTACTCCAGAAGTATTTTTTGCCAAAGCAGCCAGATGCTCTTTTGGTCCGCTAAATGCCCCCACGGGCATCTCCTACGCCGAAGCTCTACGGACAGGTATGCAAAATCAACTCCCCTCAAACTCAGTAAATGCTCAGCAGGCCCCAGGGCAGCCACAAAACAACCTGGAATCCATGATGGTGACCATGCAACAAAGTATGATGGAACTCATGTCATTTATGAAAACGACCATGTAAACGCTCGTCCAGAATCAGAATATGGTGATATAGCTGCATGTAGCACAACAGTCAAAATAATCAATGTCCAATCTACGTATATCCACGTGGAATGCCAACGGCGTCTCACGGCATTAACTTGAACTAACACAATTCCTAAATGAAAACCACATCGACGCCATGCTACTGGTTGAAACGCACCTCACAAGCAGATACAACTTTCATATAAGAGGTTATACCTTCCACCGCACAGATCATCCAGATGGTAAAGCCCACGGCGGGACCGGCATCCTCATCAGAGAACGCATCAAACACCATTTTCACCAAAGGTTTGCAACAAATTTCTTGCAAGCTTGTAACGACCCTCTTTTGGGGTGCTCGGCCTAGCTCGCCGGAGTCGGGGTTCGTACAGAAAATTTGTAGTGTCCGAGTCCCTCGTGTCCCAATAATCAGTAAATAGGCAAGAGGAGAGAGGTAATTTTAATACAAGCTTTATTGATCAAGATATATAGTGAAACCTGTGGAAAGAATACAGTGTGGTTGCTGCTGTGGGGGTGTCTTGTTGATACCCTGGTTGCGGGTAGATCCGTGTCCCGGTCTT